AAGAATAATTAAGTTTGGTAGAAGTAATTACTACTAAGTTAAGAGTAGTTAATTAGTATTTTTCTTTAATAAATATATATATTTTATCTCATATCTTATCTTATTTTCTTCTTGCTTTATTAAGAGAATATTTTATTATAAGTAAAATTCACGTATATTATCTTATTGAGAAGATAATCATATTTTATTATAAATAAAATATATATAAATTATTTTATTAAGAAGATAATTATATTTTTATCAGAAGTAAACCTCATATATATCATCTTATTGAGAAGATAATCAGTTATATAATCTCTTGAAATTATAAAAGTTAATAGTTACTATGAACATAATCACTATTACCATTTTAAAATAATTACATATGCATAATCTTAAAATGGTAATACTATTTAAAGTTATGTAAAATTATATAAATTTATTTATTTTAATTAATAATATATTTTTTTATTTTATATAATATCTACTTGATTAAAAAAAATATTAAGTATTATATAATTTTAAAAAAATTATTTCATAAAAAAATAGTTAAAATTTGTAAAATTAATTATTTTATTATATATATATTAATAAAAAATAATAAAAAAATTATATATTTGAAAATATAAATATTTTAATTATTTATTTATCTTGAATAAATTAGAATAAAGAAAAATTATCAATCTTATTATCTCTTATAAGTATTTAATTATTATAAAAATAAATTAAAATCTTTATATAAATCATAATATTTAAGTTTTAATATTTATAATTTAGCATATTTTTTAAAATTATAAATTAATTACAAGAATAAAAAAATTCTACTCAAGTGAGAATTATAAAAAATTATATTAATTAAATTATTTTAAAGTAATTTAATCTAATAAGTTTAAATTTCAAGTCTTTAACTTGAATATTACTAAAAATAACTAGATAAATTACTAAAAAATTCATTTATTAAGCCAAAAAAAGTTTAAAAATAAAGAAATTATAATGTACAATTATTTTTATTTATAAACTATTATCAAATTGATAATATAAAAATCAAGAAGAATTATATAAAATATTATATTGAAAATAATTTAATATATTAAGTCTAACAAAAAAATTCAATAAAATTATGAATTTGAATATTTAATAATTTTTTGAAATTGTTTATTAATAAAAAAATATAAATAACATAATAATGAAATTTATATATTTTTTAAATTTTAAATATTCTATTTAATAATTTATATTATATTTATTATAATAAAAACTATAATATATAGTATAATAAAGCAAATTAATCAATGATTAATTTGATATCTTTAAAATTATTAAAAATATAATAATATAAAAAATTTGATTCAAGTGTTAAACATCATATGTCTTGATATAATTATCCAAAATGTTGAAGAATTCTCAAAAAATTTCTTGTACTCTTATAAGAATTCCCATGTCATCAACAAACGAGAATATCTCTTTTATTGAAGCAGGAAATATAATTTGGCCGATATGGATCATGACATACATTCCCTTGATTAGATCCATGACATAAAAATCAACTTTGTAGTCTATGAAAACAAATTTCCAAAAAGTAAAGCCATTTTATTGATCTGCTTACCAACACACTTAAAACCTATCACTTTCACATCAGCTTCTTTGTCAATGGCCGAATCTAAACAGTCCTTCATGAAGATATCTACACGAATGAGATCATTACAGTTTTTAAAATACATTATTTTTTGTGATGGCGGGCTGACCTCTCCTACAAATAAAACTGGCTTTTGTTTGTAACTGATGAATGACTGAAACTGTGAAGTCGGGTTGCTTTGTTTGGCCTTCAAATTTTCTGGCCTTACTTTCCTCTAGTGACGTATTTGGCCATTGAACAATGTGTTTTTATAGTTGAAATAGTAACAATCCAAGATGGTATAACCCATTCTCTCACAAAATTTCTTCGTTTGCAAGCTGTCTAAGTAACATTTTGTGGCATGAATTTTTCATTGCTATCTTAATGGCTTCCCTAAATGTCGATTCACAATTAAGGTTTAATTCAATTTGTTGCTCTGGCATGAATTCTCGATGGATTTGGTCGAGTAAAAGCAAGCCAAAAGAATTAATCATGATGTCTGAATGTGAATCCGTAGTTAGCATCAAGATCGAAGATAATGATAATATTTTATGTACGTGAGACTCTACAAACAACCCCTTAGCTCTTTCAAGCGCCAGTGACTTGTTTTATAATTACGGAACGACAGGGATACATTAGTTTCTCCTATAAAAAATCATTAGCTATATCTTCTTCTTCGAAGGATAGATCACATGGAATATCGTCAATTGATAAATTGCATCGCTTTCTTCCAGGAATGGGATTATTATCAATATCAAGTATTTTACTTTGATGTTCTATCTATGGAGGTTCTACTGTCGAATTTTTCAATACTGGGCATGATGTAGTGTACCTATCTCGATAACTCTAATCTGAAATACCATCCAATGGCACTAAAGTGGTGCCGGACAGCTCAGTATCATTGTCAAATGATCGTTGTTCGTGTTGAGTTTCATATATGGCACGTGGTACGTTTCGTTTTCACTTGTTTATGATCACTCTAAACATTAAAATTTACTTTGCTGATTCTCACAATTTCCAGCTAAAAAAATCACGCATCCTGTACCTTTTCATCCTCTTTATCTCTTTTTGATATGATATTAACCCCGAAAGATCCACTATTGATCCCAATCACCGAGTTATCCGCCGTAACTTGGTGAAAGTGAACCGATGGTCCACTGACTGGTTTAGTTTCCTTCTTCCAATTTCGAGCACGGGGGAAGTGTCAGGTTGACCCAAAGTCTCAAACGCAAGAAATTCCCAAAGATATTGTTTTGCGCCCTAGCACTGCTTCGTGGTTTATCCCAAAGACTTGATTGACGCATGACCCAAAGTCATCGCGTCAACGCCACCAAATACTTATCTATGTTTTCAACAAAAAAAAATAAAGAAAATAAACGTGCCTGTTTGTACTGTTCAAGTAACTTCTTCGCCCGTTTACGCCTTGGATCTTTTTGAGTATCAGAATGACCTCGAGATACGACTCGTTGAATAATGATAGATTACATTCTTCCAAAAGTCAATTCTCAGGCTCGCGATTAAAAAATCTTAAAATATCAATCACATGATAACTTTCCGATCCTTACCATAAGCATACCCATTCTCCCGGAGTATTTTAAATAAAGAATGCAAACCTTGAATCTTTTAATTTATATAAAATTTATACTTTATTTTATTAATGAAAAAAATCAAACATTTTTTGTTACATAATAAAGTTAATTATTAAATACCATTATTGATTATAAAATACAAGTCATTAATACAATTGATGAAAATTACAATATTTGTCATCTCAACATTAATCAGAGCAATAACAATTAAATAAGATAAACAAACAGAATTCAACAAGTAGCCGGGTTGAGAGTGTCTCTAGAAGTATTTGAACTAGCTTACTTAAATAATGGAAGAAATAAATAATTTGTACACACATCAATTTCTAAACACATCAAACGAGATTCAAATGCAACAAAAAACCCTCCGAGCATCTAGTTACTTGCTGAAAATTTCTCTCGAAACCGTTTAATCCGCCGTAATACGGATCGCGTATGTATCGATCTCCTTCTGGATCATATTCACCAAATAGTTTCACTTTTTTCAATATATAAGTAGTCATATTTTAGTATTCCCCGTT